CTGTCACCCAGGGCTGGACTGCAGTGGTACGATATCTGCTCACTGCAACCTCCGCCTCCAGTTTAAGCAATTCTCTTGCTTCAGCTGTCCGAGTAGCTGGGACTGTAGGCACCTGCCACCACACCTGGCTAATTTTTGTGTTATTAGTAGAGACAGGGTTTCACCATGTTGGTCAGGCTGATCTCGAACTCTTCACCTTTAGTGATCTGCCCACCTCAGCCTCCAAAAGTGCTGTGATTACAGGTGTGAGCCACCATGCCTGGCCAGAAAATTACTTTTTATTATGTGGAATTTGGCCTAATGCATTTCTGCATCAGGTCTAGTGCCATATTTTCAGAGGTCTTATAAATATTGCTGCTTGAAAGAAAGTGAAGCAATAAAATATTTAGATTGGAAAAGAGAAGACTCTTCTTCCCTCTCACCCTCTGTATCTATCCCTATCTTCTTTTGTAGTTGTAGAGTAATTAAAGGGAGTATGTTGTAGAAGAATAGACATTAAATTTATTCTATGTGGTCCCCAAAGCACAATTTGGGCCCATCAATGTAGGCTACAGGCAAATCTGTTTCTACTCAAACAATAGCTCTCCCTGGAAATGGAATGAGTGGTGAGTGATTTTTGCATCCCTGGAGGTGTCAAGCAGATATTTACTGAGATCATTATGGAAGATATTCATGGACCATGTTGAAGTTGGTAACCTTCTGAAACCTCTCTTGGATTGCATGTACATCAACAAGTTCATGCCAGGCAGCTGCAGAGGAAAGCGTGGATATGTGTATCTCTGAGGATAAGGGTCACTGTGTTGGCTGCCTGTTACCAAGACAGCTCTTAGAGCAACTGGGTAGATAGCACTCAGATACACAGTATAACTTCTAAAAATGAGATGATAAGAACTGGTTGCAAGTTTATGTTCTCTCAAGGTGGCTTTGGTTTTTGGAAGCAGTCAAAAATCTGGTCAATTTGGGGCCAGCATGCTGGACAATACTGTTTGGCGTTTTTCAAAAAACTCTAATAACATAGGCATAACTACAGAGGGATGGAGTTTATTTTCTTGGCACGCCCGTAAGCTCAATATGAAATATGGGAGAGTTCCCTAAAGTGGCACTTTGAAAATGTGTGCAGCCACAAAAGCATTGGAGGAAGCTGCACTCTATGAGTGTCTAGATTCTGAAGTGGTTTTTCAAAGATCAGTCTCACATTTTACAGCTATGGTGTTCATCATATCTTGGTATGGAGATTGACAGATTTATTCTATTTCTTATGATAAAGCATTTCTGAGGCTGCTCAAGCTCTAACCCATGCTTCCTTCATTAGAGGACTCATCATATTCCATGGAGATCTTATAAAGACCCAGCAGGGGCTACCAAGCTGGGCACCTGGGTGCTCTGGCTGGATCATATTATCTAACCTGGCTCTGCTTCTTCACTCCCTGTAAGCTCATTTGTCTGCTGGTGCAGCAACACAACACTTCAGGCGGGCTCTACCTGCTTGGCATATGCTGATAGCTGCACAGCTGCTAGAGCCAGCTACCTCCAAACGCAGGGAGGGAATGTGGCATGTTGGCGGTGGGCGGGCGGTTGCTGCTACCAGCTTTTGTGATTTAGGGTACTGAAGATGCCATCTGCAATTCTTTTCAGAGATATCAGAGCGTATCTGCCCTTCAAGAAGGACCTGGCTTAAATTATAGATCCTTCTGTGTTAGAGAGTTTAGGGAGATATCCTAATCCAGGCTTATATAATGAATAAGGCTTGAGCCTTCCCTTGACAGCAGGCTTCAGCAAATGGAAAAGGGGATCATTAGGGCAGATGACAAGGTTGCTAAAGGGACTGAAAAAAGAAGAGACTGGGCAGCTGAAGACAAGCTTCAAGGATGACATCACTGCTTTGTTTAAAGCCACCTTCAGAAAACAGACTTACAACAAATGGCAAGTCTGTATTGACAACTGTAGAAATTGGGCAGCCTTATCATGGAGCACCCAGAATAACTCCCTTTTACTGGTTAATGATCATAGGGCCAGATAAGGACATAGGGAGGCACACTGGTTGTCTTCAATTTGCATCGCTGGGGATGACCGTTGTAGCATGGAAGGGGGTGGACCCTGGTTGTTTACCTTCCCATCAAACATTTTGCTTTCTCCGAAGCACCAGCCCTCTATATGTGGGATTGCCTCTCCCCAGTCTCAGAGGCTTTGGGTAGGGGTGAAGCATGTGACCAGGCTTGAGACAATCAATCCATCGTGGTTCCCTGGCTGCAGTGATTGGTTCAGGGTTGGCAGCAACAATGACGTTCAGTGACATTTTTGCTGGGAGTGCTGGTACTTATGGAGAGAGAGGTCTTTCTGGCCAGACTTGAACTTGCAAGCTGAAATGCGTGCGGCAGTCTTGGAACTACCAGGAGCCTGAGACTGAAGTCAGTATAGTGCAGACAGAGCAGAGAGTTGGAAATAACCAAGTCCTGATGACATTGCCCGCACTCAGAATTCAGTCTTCCATTAGACTTTCCAATTCTCTTTTCTTAAATAAGTTTAGGTTGAACCATCTGTCTGTCACCATAGAATCGTTGACTATGACAGTTCCGAGTAGCTGGTGGGACAGGGCTAATGCAATGATACAAGTTGCAAGTTGTTGTATGGCAATTCCCTGTAGGGAAATGCTTTAGAAAGAGCCGTCTGAAAAGGGTACATGCTCCCTCAAGGGTGAATGCCTTTTCAGTGGCAGGATTTGCACCCTGCACTGGATGAGCACTTGGAGGAGATAACGGAGAATAAATTCCAGGAAAATGAGAGGTTTAATTGGGCAGTTCTTTAAATCTATGTGTTTCGGAGTCTCTTAATGACCATGCAATGAAGTTACATGCCCCTTCTGACTGCCTCTCCGTTATCTCAATACAAACACGAAATGATAGAAGTAAGATTCTAACTGTGATGTGGTAACAGACCCTGCTGGGCGGTCCACCAACCTAACCTTGGCTCATTCTTCTGCTCTGTCACACAGGTCAACTCACTGTGCCCTTCCAAACCACTTCCACTTTCTGCTCCCTTGCACCCACTTTCTTGCCCCCACTGAGAATTTCTCTCTTTTATTTTTTCTTTCTTTGCCTTACAAAAGCCAGCTCCTTATTTATTTATTTATTTATTTATTTATTTATTTAAGACAGAGTCTCACTCTGTTGCCAGGCTGAAGTGCAGTGGTGGGATCTCAGCTCACTGCAACCTCCGCCTCCTGGGTTCAAATGATTCTCCTGCCTCAGCATCCCGAGTAGCTGAGACTACAGGTGCATGCCACCATGCCTGGCAAATTTTTGTATTTTTAGTAGAGATGGGGTTACACCATGTTGGCCAAGATGGTCTCAATCTCTTGACCTCATGATCCGCCTGCCTCAGCCTCCCAAAGTGCTGGGATTACAGGCATGAACCACCCAAAAGCCAGCTCCTTTCCATGAGGCTGTGTCCTCAGGCTATCTCAGACCAATGATGTGGTTCTAACTTCTGAGCTCTAGGCTATCCAGTTGTCTGAAGCACATGTTTGTGACTTATTAAGACTGCTTGTAATAAGTCCTCTGATGTCTCCTTTTAATCTGTTAGCTCCCCATCTTCTTGAAGGTAGAGATGGATTATGAATCATATCACTCACAGCTTTGCACAGGCTGCACTCACACTCAGCGGGTGCTTATAGGTAAGTGGAGCCCCAGTGTCAGGGGCTATTGTTAGTATGCCCTGCCTATGAGCTCTTCTACACCAATTTGCCAACCCATGGGAAACTAGTTATGTCTAAGGTAGTTGCTGGGCCCAAAATACAGAGGAGACAGAATACCTCCTCCCTTCAAGACTTTCCTACCCTCCTGTACCTGACACCCCATGTGCCTGATGATATATATGTGTGTATATATATAGCCATATATAATATATGTATACAGTATATCATATATAGCCATGTAGAATAAATATAAATGAAAATGTTTCACAAATAATCAATATATATGATATAGATGTATGAATACATATTTATTCATTTACTAAATACCAACCAGGTATTATGACTGAGCCATATAGCTCGTCAGTCCCAGAACCACCTTCTAATCCGTGTCCTTTGCTCACACAATTTTGGCTGGGTCTCTCCTAAAATCCAAGGGAGGCCTGGGCTCCCCAGGAACAACCTAATGGTTATCATTATTGTGAGTTTTGCATTTTAAATGTCTGCTTGGTTTAAATTAGTGAAGCCAAGGAGTTCAAACTCTAAGAAAAGTAGATAAAAATCCTGACAGTTTGGGGGAGAGCAAATCCAAGCTCCTGCTGGGCTCCAGCTGGAGGTCGTGACCCCTAGCCCGCTGTGAGCCAGGGTTCGGTTTTGGCTCTGAACCTGAGGATGAGGCTCCGGGTTCTACCTGCTGCCTGGCTGAAGGCTGCTTGAATGCTGTGTCAGCGTTGAGGGAGCCTGACCTCCCAGACGCCAGCGAGGGACTGTGGCAGGTGCTTTTTCATATTCTACAGCTCAGCAGTCCCAAGCTGCTGGGCTGGGGAACACGTGTTGAGGGGAGAGGATCCGGTCCCCAGGGGTCACCTGGCGATGGTGGCCTGGCGGGGAGCCAGGCTCGCCTTTGCCCTCTGTCTGTGCCAGAGCTCTGGAACGTGGCTGGCATCTCCTGAGAGCAAAGCGAAGCCGGCGAGCGATCTCCGGGGAACTTCCTAGAAAAAAAAAAAAAATTCAGGTTGGAAAGGTGTGGGTAGGGCCGAACACGGGAGGGAGGGAGCGCTCCTCGGCAGGGACCCAGGTTGGCCAGGGCTGCCCTGAGCCCCGGAGAATCCCCAGAGCGATCGTCCACTACATGCCCACGTGCGTGCGTGTGCCAGGGAGCCAGAGCCCGGACAGCGGGAGTCGGAGGCAGGACCAGGCGCTGCAGAGGGGCCGCGGCAGAGCCCCGGCGAGCGCGCTGCCTGGGCGCGGAGCCCAGGGGCCGCCCACTGGCGGGGGAGGCGGGGAGCGCGCAGGGAGGCGGCGGCGGCGGTGGGGCTTCCCCGGGCTTCCCCTCCCCTGGCCGCAGGTGCCCGGCGCGGGCCCAGGACGCGGAGGCTGCTCCCGGCGAGAGGGAGCTGCGAGTCCCCAAGGCGGCCGCGGCTCGGCAGTAGGACGCAGGGTCCGCAGCCTCGCTAGTGGCGGGAGCGGCTTCCCGGAGCCCTGGAGCCCGAGGCGGGAGGTTTGGGCTGAGCCCTCCCCGGCGTCTGCCCCCGCCCGGCGCCCGCCTCCGCCCCGCCTGCGGCCTGGAGCGCGCCTCCCTCGCCTCCCAGGGTCTGGCTAGCCGGCGCCGGCGGAGCTGCGGGAGCCGCGGAGAGCACCAGCCGTCGCCGCGGGAGCTGCTCCGGCCGCACCATGCGGGAGCTGGCCATCGAGATCGGGGTGCGAGCCCTGCTCTTCGGAGTCTTCGTGTAAGTAGTGGCCCGCCGCGGGCAGGGCGCTCTGACGCGGGGACCCACCAACCGAGCCTCTCTGCTCCCTAACTTAGTTTGTGCTGCCTTTTCCCACTGGGGCCTGGGTTCGAGGTCCCTTACCCGCTCAGTGCCCGCGACTTGTCCTACGGGACCAAGAGAGAACCTCCCTCTCTCCTACCTGGGACTCTAGGCACTGAGCGACCCCCGTGCGCCGGGGTTGAGACCTGCTCCCGGGTCTCACGGGGCCGGCGCCTGTCGCCAGCCCCACACCACCTGCCCGCGGGAGTCAGGCTGCACCTCTGAACAGGGACGCGCGCCCTGGCCCATGCCCTTGGGAAGTTTTTCCTTCTGTGTGATCTTTGAGGCCCACGTTGAAAGTCTTTGCCCCTGGCCCTGTCTTCGGTTCCTCCCCGCTGTGCCCAGGGCCAGACTCCTTCTGTGTCCCAGGCTTTAGCGCCCGTGGTCCTGCCGAGCTTTTTCCCAGCCGGCACTGGCGGCGCTTCTCCTACTCAGAAACTGTTGCTGAGGAGGCTTGAGAAGTCAAGGGGCTGCAGCTGGGGGTCGGATACACACACCCTGGAGCTCTGTGCCCAGTAGATGTCCGCTTTGGGGGCGGGGTCCTTTAGGGGCAGCCGTGAAATGCCCAGGGTGGCTTTGAGTGGCTGGTACTGGGAACAGCGATCCGGAAAAGAGGAGGGGGTGGTGGCGCAGGTTCTTTCGGAGATGTCTGAGCTTCCTCCGTGCGCCCCAGGGACCCACCGCTCATTGACCTCCAGGGCTCAAGCTGCAGGGAGCTGTCGCATCTCTCTTTCAGATCTCAGACCAGAACACCAGCTCAGAGCCACCCCACAGCCTCCCGTGAGCTGCTGTCACCTAGGCACCCACACCTGCACTGGTCCCTCCATCAGTGAGTCAGGTTCTCTCCCCCTCTCTGCCCATGGCTGTTTTCTGCCACATACTAAATATTAAAGTTGCGTGAACTTTCTGGATTTGCCATGCATTTATTTATTTGTTTGTTTTTGTTGTTTCTGGAAAAGCCCTCCCAAAACAAACAGGAGGCCCTCTCTGAGTTTTTGCCTCAGTCTGGAGTCATCCATGGCAGGTGTGCTGTGTCAAAGATGACCTCTGTTCTGGGCAGCCCAGGGTATACACATGGAAAGAAATGCCCTTTCTTGCATGTTTTCCTTTACCAGGGATTAAATTCATCCAGAGTATTTATTCACAGCATCAGAAAAGGCCGTGAGCTCCCCAGATGCAAGCAAACCCCCCTCTCCCGCCTTCTGCCCGAACACTGGTGTTATTCACTCAGGAGAAGGAACGAGAACTTCAGTTGGGTTTTGATGCGTTTGGAAAAACAAAACACTTTTCCCATCTCTTACTCTATTTTCTACCCTTGGAATGTACATTAAAACTAGTTATTGTTGTGTGGTCAGATGGGGACAGTTTCCAATTGCAGATAGGCTAAAACCTTATTAAATTATTATGTGATAGAAATGATAAAATCGTGTTCAGTGCACAGTAGAATTTAACATTTGTTGGGTAAATGTAGAAAGAATGCTGAGATAAAGTGAGATAGGCTCTCATGCTACCTGGTTTGACTGCTGCTGGGTGTGCTCAGATAAATAGGGGTTCAACAATATGTAAAAATATTTATAGTTTTCGGGTATCCGTTCCAATATCCCCGCAAACATTTATGAAATGGTTACAGATATACAATGGTCTGTGCAGTAAATTTGAAAACATGGTAATGATTGTTAGTGTGCATCTTGCTTTTTCTAAGGGTGTTATGTAAAACTGGACAGGCAGTTTATGTTCTGTTCTCTGAAGTTCCCTCTTGTGTTACTTAATAGGGGATCTGCTGTCACACATGGACGTTGATGGCATTTTTGGATGATTCCCAGGTTTCTTATCAAATTATTAACAGTATGTCCAACCTGTGGCTCTTTTACCCACAAAAACCAGCTTTGGCATTGATGGGAGCCTCTCTAGGGGGTGGATGCTGGATGTTCAGATGCTGTTAATATCAGGGGTATTCTGACTTCTGGGAGGATGGCTGAGAGCTTGCAGAAACAGATGACCCTTTGTTTTCTCAAATACGCGTCTGGCACCTTAACAGAGGCTGACTTTTGGGGGAAGTTTTGTTCTTCCTTTTGCTGGCACTGAAATGATGGCAAGATTCAGTGGGTTGTACCCACCTCTGCTCACGAAGATGGTGGTCTCAGCAGCACAGGTGTTTAGAAAGTTCCCCTGGGGGCAGGCTGAATCTGATTTCCTTGCTGCAGGCAGTGTCCAATTTGGCCAGTGCAACTCATCATCTAGTTTTGCTTGGTATTTCTATCCTGTTTCTCAGGATGAAAGATATTTTTTGGGAGGAACAGGTATCTTGCTTCTTTGCAACTTATGCCTTGGGGAAACATGACCTGTAGATGTGCCTGTTTTCTGACTACATTTGCTCTGCATGAGAGCAGGGATCCTGCTGCCTGTAACCCATATGCTCCTCAAAGATTCCAAGTTAGAGCTAATAAAATGCATTTTGGGCCCACAGGTAGTAGGGATGCAAGCTTTTTCTTACTGACTCTTCAAGGTCCCATTTTCTGTTTCTAGACTAAGTGCAGTGCTCAGGTTTTGTGCATTCTTAATTCTGAGAGGATGCTCTCCAGGTAACCCCCACCACCCTATAGATGCTCAGTTCTGCCTAAGGACTTCAGATCGCTGGGAAGGAAATTAGTAGAGTAATACAAATCAAGCCTGGCATATAAAGTTTAACATCATTGAAGATCAATTGGTTGCAGGAACCCAGTGTTTAGGAATAAAAGAAAGTACAGTGTGAAGCATTGAGGCTGCATTTAGTATCATGAAGTGTGTGGGCCTCAAGGTCCTATTGCTCTTACTCATGGATTGTGGGCAGAGCAGGAAGGAGAAGCACTTGTGGGCTTCTGCCTGCTGCTACCCAGGACTCCAGGAGAGTATTTCTGCAAATGCCAAGGATAGCAACAGACCTTACTGAGCAAGCACATAGTGTAGAAATGAGATGGCTGGTTAATATCCAGCAGACCAACGGAGCACTACTAGAAGCACGCTAATCACTGACTGCTGTCGCCAGCACAATAGGAATCACTTACTGAGCGCTTACTGTGTGTCAGGCACCCATGAAGGCTTTCCCATATGCTTTAGCCTGATGAAGGGAGTATATTGATATTTCTTTGTCATAGATGAAAAAACTGAAGCACAATAAAATTAAGGAACTTCCCTGGAACAGGAATAACAAGGGCAGCTCCGAGACCTAAATCTAGATGCTTCCTCTGCAAGGTCTGGACTCTCAGTCACTTTGCTTCATAAAAAATAGCAGCCAATTTTGATCAGTCCAGGTCTTACTGCATGCAAAAGGCATTCCATGTGATTTCTCTTTTAAGCCTCATCTCACTGGATTCTGTTCATTATTCCTACTTTACAAATAAAGAAACCAAGGTTTAGAAGGGTTGAGTAAGTTGCCAGAAGTTATTCAGCTAGCAGGAGGTATAACCCTGATTCAAATAGGCAGTTGACCCCGCGTCCCTGAGTGGTCAGCCTCTGACACAGAATACATCCAGCCCCAGGCTTCCAGACTGGTGTGAAACTGACCACGTCCTGTGAGCCATTCCTTCCACAGCTCTATCCCCAGAGGGGCAACTGCACATTGCCTGGAGTGATGTGTGCGAAGCTGTCACTCTAGCTCTAAAATCACATGCTAGGATGACACCTCAAAGGTGGGGATGGCAATGGTGGTTCACACTTCCTAAAAGTTGGGATTGGATCATGGCATAGATTTTAAGGGTATGATGTGGTGAGTTAATTGCTGGTGAGAACATCAGTTGCGGTGGTAAGAAACTAGGGATACCCTGCTTTCTTCCACTGTGTTTGGCCATCATCTCCCAGGACATCAGTTAGTTCAAGCACCCTGTATTTATAACACTGCAGAAAGGACCCTAAAGGTGATGACAATCTAATGTGCCGGAGTGGGGGAAAGGTGGTTTGCCTGTTTCACTTGTCAGCTTGAGTTCCTTGGGGATCTTCTCTTCCTCTTTCCTTCCTTCCATCTGCCTATCCCCCTACCCCTCCCTGCCATTCCTGGTAACTCTGTCTGCAGGGTCCCCCCAGGAGCTGAGTCTTCTCAGGCTGCCAGGGTGCACAGGTAATGGTGTTTAGCCTCCCTTTTGATCAATCCAACATCCTTCTTTGAGCTCTTTGGATGCAAGAGCCATGTGCCAGGCACTGCGGATGAGAGGAGAGGGAAGGCCAGGTGGCCTCCAGTAGCTCACAGTCTGGTAGGGAAAGCACACACTGGGCCACCATTTATTATTTTCTCCAATGCAATGACTGGGTTTGAAAGTTTTGCCTCCAAACATTTCTCTTTCATTGTTCATCTGCTTGACGGATATTTGGGACCTTCTAGGTGCAAGCATTTCTGACAGTCATTTCCTTTCCCCTTCATTGGCACTCTTTGGTTGGTGTAATTCCAGCAAGACAGAGGGAAACGTGGTGCTTTAGCTGGTCCAGGTGACTTGCTTGAGGGCACTGGATGTCAGGTAGATTTTTGCAATATTGACAAAAATTAACAGATTCATCTTTATTACCCCGAGGAGCCCAGTGTAAGACTCCATGCTGGGAACACTTGGAGCAGGGTGCTCGGTTTCACTGAGAAGGAGGATGCATGTGCCAGGGAAGGCTGCCCAGGGCTGAGCACTGAATGCCAGGTGTACAGGTCCTAGGCTGGAGGACGTTCCTGCAGGGCAAAGGCCTGGAGGTGTGGAGGCATATTTTGGGTGGGGATCAGGTCACCAAGTGTGGCCTCAGACAGTGTGGGTTTTGGGGTGGGTGGCTATGGGAGTAACAGGAAGCAAGCCTGGAGCGAGAAGACAAGTGGCCTCAGGGCCCTGCAGGGCAGTGATCATTTCCACAGAGGCAAAACTGGGGAGCCTGGAGGTTTGAATCAAAACTGTACATTGCTTAGATATTTG